CTAATTGTGTGACCGAATCAGATCGCATACGCGTGTTAATCCGCGTATAATAAGATTGATTAACTGGTGTCGGGACCCTGACAATTTGGGATAAAGACCTCACAGTCTTGAATCCCCTTTTCCTAAAATTACCGCCCTCCTATAAAACGTTACGAGAGCGATCTCACAATCGCGCGCCGTAAGTGTCGTAGACTAAAATCTACGTCCTGGCTGATCTCACAATTGTTTCCTTGGTTGCATGTTGATTTTGTTTGCTGACAGTGTGGCTGACCAATTGTAGCTGTCTGCAGGCAGCAAGAAGTATTGTAGTACAATGCAACTTATGAAAAGGGGTGTAGAATATTTTCAGGATCCAAAATTTCACCCAAACATACATAAAATTTCTCCAAAATTATAGCACACACAATATACAAGCATACAACAATATCAATTGTTATTTTTAGATTTTAAAACTGCTGTATTAATTATGCAGTATTAAGTTTGAGAGAAAAACCTAATACTCTTAATAATCTAACATTGATAAAAAAATTTTTGAAAAATTTTAACACACCTTCTCTCTCTTTCACATACATTTTACATTTTCAATTTGAGGGCAAGTGTTAATAAACTGATGAAAAAAAATAACAAAAAACCAAAAATAATAATTAATTTAAATGGTATTATTTATCATTTTTCATTTTAATAATTTTGATTGCGTNCCCGATTTTGGAGTCGTTGGATGGCTAGGAGGGCAAATTGAGTGGGGAGGGAGGTGAGGAAGCTGGCAGGTGTCCTTAAATGACAGGAAACAGGTTCAACAAAAATAACAAACATTTATTGAATGGCTAAGCTAGGACACATAAGGCGATAACAATATATAGGTTAAATGCGGTTAAATACAACTAAGAGTAACTGCGGCTAACATAAGTTCCCTATCCCAAAGGGACACCCTAACAGCTTTAACGGTTAGTCTGAGAGAGTGTTCACAAAGCTCTAAAACAATGCAAACACCTCAATGCAGATATGACTAATATGTGTTCGTTGAATGGGTCATATGAATCGTAGTCGGTGCAGGAACTGTAGAATGGCGATGGAAGTCAAAGTTGTGGTCCGTCNGCTATAATCCTGTCTTTCTTATCTTAATTTTACTAATTCATCGGTTATAAAAAATATATAACCGTTAATTAGAAAAAATAACCAGTTAAAAAGTTGGAGAAGCAATAGTATGTGTGTGTAGTAAGTCAAGTGATGTTTTATTTTGTTAATGTGCCATACTGTAAGGGACATGAGGGTCAGGGAATTTGTACAAAGTTGGTCAGGGAATGTCATGGAATTGAAAACAAAAATTTGAATAGGAACCCTGTATATACTTCATATTATTTTTAATAGGAACCCTGTATATACTTCATATTATTTTTAACATTTCTATTGAACATTTCTAATGAAGCAATATCAACTAATAATAATAGAGAAATATGTAGTTGAATATTAGGTGAAAAATTTTGGCTAAAATTGAACTAAGGTATAGTCACAATATTTAACATTTACTCAATGTTATAGTTCAATAAAAATATTTTTCTCTAACTCTTTCTTCCCTATGGACACTAGTGGGTCATTTTTTTCTATCATGGATTGGCCCAGCTTAAAATAGAGTGGCAGGTTGTAAGAGATAGAACCAACAAATACAAAACAGACCACTCAGGATGAATTCCTAGGGTTGCATTGTGTGAGTACTCTTCATGACATCTTATCACAGATCTGATATTGCTTAGAGTCACAGTCAACATTTCTTTATTTAAGGAGGAGGATACATATCATTCAGGATGGTGAAAAGGTGTAAACTACATGTGTGGGTGGTGGCGTTAGACACTGAGGCAAGAACTCCATTTACAATTAACACCCATTTATAAAATACAAAAGAAATCTTACAAAAGTTTAGGAGATCTTTTCTTAAAAACTAATTCAATGGGATACACAGTGAGTCCTGACGACAGTGACATTCTAGGGCAGTGTTTCTCAACCTCTAACAAATCGTCGCCCCCCTTCAACGTAGTATCGCCCCCTTCACTTCAAAATTCCAATGCCGAGGGCCAAGGCTAACGCCAAATTCGTACTGCATTGAATAGACTAGTGACTAGTATAATGTTGTTTGTTTAATTATTGTACGATACAACAAATAAAATATCTAATTATTCTTAATATAATGTTTTACTATATCGCCCAGAAAATTGTTTTTCGCCCCCAAAATATAAATTGTTACTAATCGCCCCCCAACATGGAAAAACACCCACATGGGGGTGATATCGCCCTCGTTGAGAAACACTGGTCTAGGGGATACGTATCCCAGTACAGTAATTAACACACTGTTTGTTGCTTATATGTATCATTTGATTAAAACTTAGACTTTGATTGAACAAGCCCTCATGTCATTGAGTTTCAGACTTTTTAAAGGTTTCACATCTCTGTTTGGACATTCTTGTTGGTTGTGATCTCCCTTTTCCCCTTTTTCAATTGGACCCTAGTTTGTTGCTGGAGCTATTCAGAATCAAATTTGGAGGTTAGACACTGGTCGGAGATGTTTATTGAATTGTTGTGATTTCTGCCCATAACTCGGAGTTAAGTTTTTTACTTCAGTTACAAATATTGCCAACATCACTTGCATGACATTTGGTTTTATTAAACATTTTATTTTGCTATTTTTGCAATAATAGGAGAAAAGGTCAAATTCTTGTTCTACTCTCTCTCACAAAATAACCTTTTTTGCTCTGTTTTATTGATTAAGAACATTTTTATATCAAACAATTTTCAACAAATTTTGGTCAACGTTTCAGACCACAGTTGAGATCTCACAATTGGCACAGGTTCAAACCTGGATTACATAGTGATAAGTTGATGCTTTTATCATTTCAGCCATTTGGCTATCATTTTCAAAGTTTACTTTAAATTCAGAGAAAAACGATGCTATCTCTTAAGTATTATAAGTTGTGAGGGTTCTAGGGATTTTTAGATTCAAACCCCACTTCTGTGACACCAATATGTGAGCCACCAGGAGGGAAGAGGAGTCCTCTCCCTCCAGCCACTGGTCGGTGACCTACTTTCTTGTCAGGGATGGTAGTAACGTGCAGTTACGCGTTACGCGAGTGGAGGAGAGTCGGAGGGGTCGACGATAAGGCGTTGGCATAGTCGAATAAAGACACCATTTTTCTAAACTAACAATTTATTACAGACAAATAATAAAACAAACGTTTTAACACGGTAAGTCTCATTCGCGTATGAGAGAGAGAGCTTACAATAAAGCGTTCATACCTCTTGCGATAAATAGCGAAGGCCTTTAATTTCTGGAAGGCGGGATCCAAGTTGAGGGTTGGGATCGAAGTTCTTCTATTATGTGATGCGGCTGGTTAGAGGGAAGCGAATCTCTATCTTGATGGTGCGATGGTGACTTCTTGATTAGCGACTCCCCGGAGAAGGGAGAAGGAGGATGGCTTTTATACCTTTTTGGTGGGAAAATTCGTCAGGTGATCAATTGTTTTAGCAGGTGTGGGGTTAAAGGTGGTGTTAGAATGACAACAATATGAGGAATTTCGCCGATAACTGTAAACTATATACGGTTTGCTCGTGAGAATGTTTATATTTAAACAAGAAGAGTTATAATTCTCGCATGTACTTTAGATTTCGTTTTTGTAGGGTCAAATTCCTTTGGTTGAGGACATTTTTAATTTAAATTTATTAAACTTTTAAAGTATTAAATGCTTTTATTAACTTCGAATTTCACATAAGTCAATTTAGATATTTTATTTTTGAAATTATTTTATAAATATAATGAAAATACTTAGACATTTGTTTTTTATAAATATTTTAAACAGAACAATTTTTTAAAATTATATATTTTATTGTTTCTGTTATATCTGGAAATAATTTGCATCCTACATATTACTTTCACATATTTTGATGCTGTCTATTAATGCATTATTAATGAATTATGTATTTTGTGTTTCTGCAGTCAGATAATTATTATTCTGAATTGGCTTAGATACAGAAGCTATAAGAGAAAAATAACTTTCACAAAACCTTTTAAAGCTTATAGCTTATTTTTATGACACTACCAGACCACATACATATATTTTTCCAGTAGGTTTGCAATGATGTGTGTTGTTTTTGCTGATGTCATTAGTGAAAGCTGTTGTTGCAGTTTAGTTAGGATATATTAATTTATTTATGTTATTTAATTTTCTTAATAGCTATATGTAATTTGTTATAAATTTTAAGGACTTATCACACCACAGTTTTCAATTGGAAAGTTCACTGAGATTTTATTAAATCATTTCATTTCTAATTGAAAACTGTGGTGTGATAAGTCCTTAAAATTTATAGCAAATTACATATAGCTATTAAGAAGATTAATTAAAATATAGGACAAAAAGCAAATAATTATAATTACTTATCTTATTTTTTAGATCTTGTATCCTCAGATTATTATTTTGCAAAATTTCCTGTAATATACAGACAATTTTGCATTTTACTATAAATCTGTATGATCAGAGAACTTTAGCATATTAAAATGTATATCAAAGTCCTTTGATGGGGTAAAAGAAAATTTTTATAGAATAAACAAATGTTCTGAAAAATGGCCAATGAACCATTTTGTTCTATTGTCTTTTAACAGTTCTTTTATAAAAACATTAAGCTTGTTTTTTACTCAAAAATTTGCATAAACAGTTTTGCAAATCAATAGATACTTTGGAATCATTTTAGTTAATAAAATTTAGTAACTTAAAAATGAATGTCTAATAAGAAATAGAGATAAATTATCTTTTACAGTACATATCAATATTTGATGACATTAGCAACTGGTTAAATGAATATTAAGTACTACATAATATAGAATATAATAGCATCAATTTTTGATAAAAATGTAATAAAAAATGCATTAATATTAATTCTTGATGATATATATAGTTTAAAATTCTTATTAAACCATATATTTTTAATATAATTTGTTACAACTTCTTTTCTTATAGTTGATAAAGAAGATGAGTATTTATCGTTGGCTCATTATAGTGGCAATTGGAACACTCACCGCCATGACAGGATGTTTTATAACAATTTTAATTGATTTGTTAACTAGACTGAAATTTTCTGTTTTGAAATTTTGTATCTTTTAAATAGTAAAAAATATAATTATAAACTTCTATAAGAATCTCTCCTATAGTATAATTATCATCATCATCATTTATCATTTGAATTCTATTTTATAAAATATATTCCTTAATAATTATTACAGATGTTGATAAATGTACAGATAAAGATTGCATGTTTATACCATATATATTGTGGATAATATTTAATGTTGTTTCAGTTTTAATTGGATCATTACTTGTTACTTACATTGCCGTAAGTTATTTTTTATACTTTATTACATTTTGTAGTGATAACTTTGTATTTTATTAGAAATTACAAATTATTAATATAAAACCAAAAATAATTTAGTGACTTTTTTGAGAAAATTATTTCTAAAAGTTTTCCTTTAAGCTTCTATTTGTTTTCAATTTAAAATTATTATAATATAAATTATTTTAACCTAAGCCTGTTGCTGCTGGAAGTGGTATTCCTGTCATCAAATGTTATTTAAATGGAGTAAAAATTCCAGAAGTAGTTAGGATAAAAACCTTAATTGTAAAAGCTGTTGGTGTTATTTTATCAGTTGTTGGAGGTTTAGCAGTTGGAAAGGTATTTTTTAAAATTATTATTTAATTTTAAATAATTGTTTGAAATTTATTAATACTTTTATTATTATTAGGAAGGACCAATGATTCATTGTGGTTCAGTTATTGCTGCTGGAATTTCCCAAGGAAAAAGCACTACCTTTCGAAAAGATTTTAAGGTTAAGTTTATTTAGTAATTTTTAGTAATTAAGAAAATAAATAAACAATAATAATAATATAAATTTTGAAAACATCGTTTGATAAATATACTAAAATTGCATCTATATGAATTTTTCATTTCATAAAACATTCTTTTGCTGTAATACTTTTTTTTTATAACTCATAATTCAGTTTTTGGAGCCATTATATCTCAAAGAAACATTTTAATTTAATTAAAAATATTTTTACAGAAGCATTTTCATTTTTTACATTAACTCAAATAAATTATTAGGCAGACAATTTATTTCCCAGTCAGTTTTCAAGATTTTGAAATTAATTTTTCAAACTTATTTTCAAAAAATTAGTTATGAAGAAATGAATATTTAATTACTTATTTCTCTAATTTTGAAGATCTTAATACTTTCCCTAGTAATATTTTATAGTTTTAAGTATCATTATTAAATTTTAGTAGTTATAACATCACATATAATATATTATATGTAATTTTTTATCAAATGAAAAATTAAATATCTGCTTAATCACTTTGTAGAATATTGTTAAATTACATAAAAACCTTTAGTGGAGCAATTATTTTACTCTAGAGTTCAGTTAAATTTTGAAATGAGATTTTTCTAACTCTCTAAAAAGAAAAAGAACAAAGAAATAAATTGAATAATTTAACTGCTGAATGAAAAGCGTATTACAAATTGTAAGGAAAAAATATTACAAATAATAATTAACAGTAATTACAATATATTAAATTATTCCGTTACAAGGCAAATACAACATCGGCTATTTTATATTTGTCCCATTTGTTACAAATAACACAATAACAGATGGTTAAATACACTATAGTTTTAAGGAATGCAATATAAATTAAATGATTATACAGATATAAATTTATATTTTTATCCAAATGTTGTAATTGAAGTAACAAAAAAAATTTGCTTTTTTCAAAAATTAAAAAGAATTTTATTACAGGTTTTTGAAAGATTTAGAGAAGATCATGAGAAAAGAGATTTTGTTTCTGCAGGGGCTGCAGCTGGAGTGGCTACAGCTTTTGGTGCTCCAATAGGTGTGTTTTAATATGTTTAATAATTTATCTCAAATCTTGATTTTTAATCTCTCTGTTAAATATGTTATATGGCAAATCTACAATAAAACTATTTTCCTGCAATTATTTTAGAATAAATATTGTTTATTTCCTTTCTTTTAAAATTAATAATTTTATAAAAGTTATTAATTAAGAGGAGTGAAATATACTAGTGAAAAAAATCCCAAAAATTCAGCCTACAGTTCTGTTATAGTCAGCAAAACTATAAAAACATTTTTATGGTTTTGTACATTTTTTTCAATATAACTGTAACTGATTTTACTAAAAAAATAAGAATGAATTCTATACAGAATGATTTTGTACTGGGTTAGCATATATACAGAATAAATACAATATATAATTTTAAGAATGAGCATTATAACAAATACTTATTTTAAGATTATGTTGCAGAATTAATGTAAAATTGTGAAATTTATAAAATTTCATGAATTTTAAAATAATTCTGCATCAGAAATTTTTAAAAGAAAATCAAGTTTAAAGTAATTAGTAAAATTTTTTAAGACTATCCTTGGATTTGATTATTGAAAAAAATTATTTGAGCAATTTTTAATAATGAATGTGTTATCTGTGCATATGCATTATTATTCATTATCCATAAGAAAATACAATTGTGCCTTGTACCTTGAATTTAATTTATTTTAGGAGGGCATTCAAATTTAAACGTCTTTGAAGTCCAAATCAATTTTTCTCATTAGAAATAATGGAAAGCAAATTATTCTATTCCCAGAACCTAAACAATATACGTTTTGATAAATTTAAGTTAAAACAGCAAATACACATAATTTAAGATAAAAATAGCATGTTTAAATGCCCTAATAATAAATTAAAACATGGAAACAATAAATAAAATATGTAATACTGTATAATAAAATGAAAATTGCATTTACTAGTTGCACATTGTCAACTTTGGTATCTTAAACATGGCCATTAGATCTACCACATGTATACTGTTTTCATGCTTCATGATAAGTTTTTTCTTCAATTCAACAATTGATAATACAACCTTCCTCTTAGACTTCATTGCTTCCACACACTTCTCAAGTACCATGGTTAATAAGTAAAGGCTATGTTGGGTTGAACAGAAAGTTTTTGTATATTTTTAACAGCTATTGTTACTTGACAGATGATTTAATTATAACAATTGTGAAATGTAACACATTATTTCTGATTTGAGATTGTATTCTTTGTTTAGAAGCTTATTTTAAACTTCACATTTTGTTTGAATAAAATCAAGTTGAAATGTCTTTATATAAAAATTAGACATACGCTTTATGAGTTTTAGAAAAAAATGTAACACTACAAACTGTAAAAAAAATTTCATAATTTATATGAGGAGGATGCTCCTAAACTTTGAACATGTGAAATGTGGTTTAAAAAATTCCATTTAGGAAATTTTGAATTAAAGGATACAAAATATATGGGAGTGCCCATAAACTTGTTGAAGAAAAATTTTAGGAAAAAATTGTTAAAAATTGACAAATAACACACAATATGTATATAACTAAACACACCAAAAATAAAGTGAAAAAAGCACTGAAAAATACACAAACATAATGTGAGAGACAACTTGGATGCACAACAGATTGTATTTATGCTTTGAGCACATTTTTTCATTGCATGTGCAGTTCAATCTTTAAAGCATCATTTGAACTCCAAAGTGAATTTTTGTCAGATTTGGCATTTTATCCCTGAAGAATTCAAAGTTATAGTGGTTCAAAGTATGAGGTACTACTGTATTGGAATTTTTATTTTTCTGTACTCATTTTTAGAAATTGGGGGAAAAATATGTTTTTGAATTAAAGAAAAGGTACTGGTTAAATGATTTTAGTATGTAATATGGTAAAGTTTTAGATTGAAAAATAATGAAAGAAAGAAAAGAATTTAGATTACTATGAATGTGCATCAAATTTTTATAATCTTGTATCATCATATTATTATATTGTAATGAATGATATGATTATAAAATGTTTGTAAATTATAGAACTTTTCATTGCAATTATTTGTCTGTCACTGAGAAATGTTAATGCTATATTTGTTTTAATGTTTTGAAAAGACTAATCATTCAACACAATAAATTTTTAATTATTAAATAATTATATTTATTATATATATTAGATTAATAAACTTTTATTTTTCAGGTGGAGTTCTTTTCAGTTTAGAAGAGGGTGCAAGTTTTTGGAATCAGTATCTTACTTGGCGTATTGTAAGTTATCTCATTTATGCCATTCGATATATAACAATCAGTATATCCAGTATTTATAAGTTTTATTAAATAATGTATAATTTAAGAATTTTGTATTTTATTCATGTATTCTTCTGTATTTTTTTATGAAAAAGCATAATACATTGAAGTGTAGAATACAAATAAAATAAAAATATATACTTTTAACTTTAAAACTAATTGCTTTAAAAATTTTTCTCTATGATTAATTATGGGTATATTTTCTAAAATCAAACAAGTTAACAAGAATGATTTCATTGTTATTTTTTGTTGGACATTTTGACAGATTCATTTACAACAAAATGGCTGTTTCTAAAATTGAAGTTATGAATGTTGTTAGTACAGTCTTGTCCAAAATATTTTTCTCAGGTTGCTTGACATGGGCAGTTATTTGTGTCATTTAGTTTTTTACAATTTATACATTCAAATGACTTTAAAAACATCAATATTGCTGGATGAAATTTTCGTAGCAATGTAAACTAACTCATTCCTTTGTGAATTTTGTTAGAATTTCATTTGAAACATCATCAGAATTGAGCATGTGCATTGAGCTGAATTAGTACTTCATTAGTAATTTTTGTATCTTTTTCAACTTTACAAATATATTGGATTATGTAATAAGTTCATTCAAATTTTGATGACATCTACATTTTTACAAGATTACCTTTTTTAGATACAGCATTGATTTGTGTAAATAGATAAAATATGATTGAAATGTTGTTTGTTTGCAAACTCAGTTCTTAAAGAATTATTTTTCATCACTAAACTTGTTATCCAAAAAGTCTGCATTATCTTGTTATACAATCTAATATTTTGAAGCCTATATAACTATTTTTTTTAAGTATGAAGATTTCACATTTTGTGTATATATATTTAATAGAATATAAAAATATATATTTTAATTCTTGACTCGTTTTTTTCTTTGATTGACCATTTTATCCACCACAGTTTGTTTTCCTTTCTTCAGTTCAGCATTTTGCTTTGTCACTGGCTTCTTTATCAACCACTTATCCATGAGGCAAAATAAAAATTTAAAGCAGAGACATTGGATTGTTACATGAGTCCATAAAGACGATGACAATCTCAGACAAGACAATAGTAAACAAAAATAACTAATGCAGTAACACTAATGTTTTACTACTATTAATTGTAACTAACTCATCACTAGTGACTAACACAATTTGCAAGACACTTAGGCAGATTGCTTCAAATACACACATATATGGACTGGATTCAAGAGATATCCTGCTTAAATATGATGGAAACTTCTGGAAACCTCTAGCACTAGAAATGTATAAAATGGAAGAATTTAGTAGATTCTCCAGTTAGATGCATACTTTGGTCATTAGATGTCAATACCAGTTTCATAACTTTGTTATGGTTTTTCCCCCATCTTGTGGGCACTAAGAGGGCCTCTTTTAGCAGCCCACAATGGGGTGGCTGGATGGTGAGGGACGAGGCTTGGATGGACCACTCTCCGAAAAATTTCTGGGAATTTTTCGACCCATCCGGATTTGATCCTGGGTCCTCCAGAGTGGTAGGCTGCCACCTTGACTGCTCGGCCATCCAGCCTACCCTGTTACAGTTATATTATAGTTAGGAAAGGTTACCCTGATTATGAAAGTTTCTGAAATTGAAAAAGTAAAAGATTTCATAATTTATTGAACTTAAAAGTTTACATCAAAAACTCTTATTTATAATTCACAAGCGTTTCTTATATAAATGTTAT